AATCTCATCATAGAGTGGGAACCCTGAACACACACACAATGTCTTTCGCACTTTTCATGGAGAAGCTAAGGCTGTCCCCCTTGAAGTATGTGAACAGTGGTTAAATGAAACGTTACCAAATTTACTTCAAGGATACAGTTAAAATGATGTTTTCAATATTGATGAAATGGGTTTATTTTTTAAATGTCTTCCAAATAAGACTATGATGTTTAAGGATAAAAACTGCTAAGAGGGTAAAATGAGCAAGGAACGTTTGGCTGTCCTAGTTGGAGGAAATGCGTCTGGGACAGAGAAATTGCCCTTACTTGTTATCGGAAAATACCGAAATCCCCGATGTTTCAAGAATGTAAAAATCGTATCCTTTGGATTACAAGTCTAACAAAAAGTTTTGGATGACATCAGTTTTATTTGAAAACTATGTAAGAAAATTGGATCGGAAATTCTTCGCTAAAAAAAAGAAAAGTGATACTCTTTATGGATAAATGCACAGTGCATAGTGATCTACCTAATTTGAAAGCAGTAAACTTGCAGTTTCTCTCGCCAAACACAACAGCAAAGTTGCAGCCGATGGACCAGGGTATCATAAAGTGCTTGTCAGAAAAATGATTTTAAATATTATAGGCATTTAGAAGATTTGTAATTAATAAGCATTAATTAAATAATTTGACAATATTTTGAAAGTCCAAAACCGAAACTAACGGTAAGTCGAACTTCCAATGTGTCGAAATTTTTCGTTAGTCCTATCAGATTCGAGTTATCGCGAATTCACTGTAATATGTGTAGAGAGAAATTGTAAAAATAAAATGATTTTTATTTTTTGCCCTTGTATATTAGGTATAATTTGCAATTCCTTCAATCAGCTCCAAATAACATTTGAGAGAGCGTTTTCCCTGTTTTTTTCTTTCACTTTGGCTACCATTTTTTAAGCACCTGTTGGATATTAGTTTTATGTGAATAAAAAAAATTGCTTTTCCATTTTTCTATAGTTTATAGTCTTATGAAAAGCTGATTTCTCTTGCAAAAATATTTAATGCTGTATTGGTTTAACTTTGTAATTGTGAACCCCATGACAGAATCACGGCGACTTTGGCGCAGAACCGTTAGAGTTCTTCCAGAAAGACTTTTCTTTTGAAGAATAAAAAAATTTACTTTTCTTTTCTACAGAAATTTACATACATGTAATATTCAAATCATGCATTTAGATAATCACTTTTTCACACGCTGAATTTACGCAGATAGTATTGTAAATCAGAGTAATGATTCGATTGTATTTTCGGCAGTTATTGATGTTGATTTTCACATGGATTTTGAATATCCCGATATATTTCAAACGCCATGTAAAATTCGAATCGTGCATTCGAGTATTTACTTTGCAAGGCAATAATTCTATCGAATTTTCGGCAGTTATTGCTATTGATATCTGCATAGTTTTTAAATCTGATATTTTTTATACAATAATATTATTCATTACAACAACCTAATCTTGAAACAAAACAAAAATGCAAAGAGGGAAATAATTTGTGAGTCCCCCTAGCAAAATGCACGAATATCACCCATAATATTAGAATAAAAAATTATTACATGTTCAATTGAAAAAAATTATATAGTTTCTTCTTGTAAACACAGCACTTTTGCTAGTTTAAATTAGTAACATATATGTTTGTTATTATTAAAAGTATCTTGCAGAAAGATATTAGTACTAGAGATTTTTGTCTCAGAAATCTTGAAAAAATTCTACCACAGGAACTGTAACATACTCTGTTATTTTTTTAGTTCATTTTTATATCTATGTTATATTAAGAAGATATATTTGTACTATGTTCTGAATAATAAATTTATTTTTGTCCTCAGATATTTTCCTTTGTGTATATAATAAAGTTAATTATCTATAACTATATTTAATTCCTTATTTGCATATATATATTTGCAGTTTGTTATCATTGAACTATATTTAAATAAATGCATTTTTTAATTTATTTAACCTTCAATAGAATGCTGCAATGCATATCCTAAGAAATGGCATTCCAACTTTAATGTCAAAGCTCAGGCCCAAGCTCATAGTTATAGATTCTGTTGCATCACTCCTACGTTCAGATCTTGAATCTATAAATGAAAGGACTACTAAAATCCAAGAAATTGGAGCTGAGATATGGAAATTAGCTAATGTATTTGGATTAGCAGTCATTTGTGTTAATCAAGTAAGTTTTATCAAAATCTTGATTGTTCTTATTTACCTAGTGTCCAACAATTTTGATTGATTTCAATATATTAAAAATCTCAGGAACAAAAAGTGATAGAAGAATTAAACAAACTGTATTTTTATTGTGAAAGCTTTAAAAATTTCATACAAAATGTTCGAAGTGTAGTTCTAAAAGTTGTTAACATGCAACGTTATATATGCTGTGCAGAGTTCTTGAAAAGAAGACAATTCCTGTAGGACTGTGATATCAAATCTATGATATTCCAAATTCCAATCAAACAAGAAAAAAACAGTGTTCAATTTATCCTAATAACTCGGTACAAAAATTCCTTTCATTTTCCAACTCTAAAACTGATTGTTCTAGTCGTAGATATTTTGCAGATATGTTGGCAAATTTTGTAACTAATTTCCAAAACTTCTTTACAAAAGTTGACAGAATTCACAATAAACACAGGGTGCATAGCGTTTTTAAAAAGTGCTTAAAGGTGCTTATTTTTGATTTACTTTTTCTAAAAGCCCTTAAAGGTGCTTTTTTTATTTGGGGTTTGTAAAAAGTGTTTAATTTTCTATCTTTCAAAAAGATATTTTTTCTTTGCTGTATCGATTGTTGTTCTAAATTATAAAAAAAATGCATTATTTTCACAATTCTCTCTGGAATATTTATCAAAAACTAGTTATATTATCATGATTATGTCAAATTTTTGAATTTTATTGATTTTATGTTTATAAATTAAGTACTTTAAACGATAGAAAGAATAATTTTTGTTACTGTGCAGATCCTAATTACGATTTTTTTGGAACTTGATTAAATTATTGAGTGCTTGAAAAATACTTAAAAGGTGCTTATTTTTTAATTGAAAAACTGGCTACGCACCCTGAAACATAGTATGTTCCATTCCTCTATAACCTTTTTCTTCGAGATTTTTTATTTTGAAATTAGTCAGCTATCTGCTGCAATGAGTGATTTACATTTTTTTCCCTTCATTTTATTTCCATTTAAATTAGGTGTCTGGCCAGTTTAAAAAGAATGAAACTTCTCAAGCTTCTTACATAACTGATGTACCATCATTGGGACTACTTTGGTCAAACATCCTAACTACAAGAATGAAGATTTCTAAAAAAGTATCTCAGACTGGACCAGCAACCAGAACTTTAGAATGTGTTTACTCTTCATACATTCCAAATATATCTTTAGACTTCTTTATATCTGAAAAAGGAATAAGTTTTGTGTAATTTCCAAAATTTTATTTTATTATTTATTAAAAAGTTTGTTATTTTTAAAGGCAGTTAATTTTGTGTATAAAATTTTAAAGTATATTTGAAATGTATAAATTTTTAAAATAGTATACTTTTTCTTATAAATGCAAATAAAATAATGTTTTATTTATTCCTAGTGATTATACTATTTACTATAGAAAGATTGTAAGGATATTAACATTATAATTTTGCATTCAAAAATTCCCTTTCGTGAAGAGCTGCTTGCATTACATTATTCTTAAGAAGATAAGGAGTTTCCCCAAATATATAAGCAAATAATCTTAACAAATGCCAAAATATTATATTTTTCATAGTGTAAGCAAGAAATGTAGGGATTCAAAAAAAATTATAGTTTGTAAACCATAGTTTGATTTTATAAGACTACATATTCATTTGTTATTTAGGTATTTCTAAAATACAATATTAGTCAAAGAACATATAAAAAGCAGTAGGTTAATGAAGACAAAAAAATGTGTAAGTGGAAAAATCATTCTTAGTAACTGACATAAGTGAGCACAAAGAACGGGATAATGCTTTCCAAAGGTAATAAACCCGACTTTTTCATCACTGATATGTTAGATATTACACAATGATATAAGATTCTAATATGTTATTATAATCATGTAATAAGTTAAAAAGTTTGGCCCATTTAAAAGAATGAGACAAGAATTAGTAATTTTGGGCCTGATACTACAGTAAAAATTGGTGAGCTCTGCTTGCAAAATTATTTGCTTGTCTTGAAATATACTTCTTTTTAAAATGTCTAACAATTAATTTTGGAGTTTATTACCTATAACTAAATATTTTGTAATTTAGTTTTTGGATTTAGACATTTTAGTTTTATAGGACTCTGAAAGATATGTGCCTAGCGCATTTTTTAAACTAAAAGTAAAGCATTCCTGCAACTGCCCATTGTGTGTCAGGGGGTCATGGAGGTTAAGGCTCCACTATTTCGTAAGCAACAGCATGATTGTGGCATTGCGTTCAAGATGCCTTTACTTCCCAGAAAAGTTAGTTCCCATCTATCTGAAGGTGGATGGGCTTCGAGCCGACACTGGGGACCAAACCCCAGTTCTTCATAACGACAGTTCAGTGCCTTAACCATTGAGGCTCGCATTCTTTAATTATTCAAATTGTGAAAATAATTCTCTTAAATTAATAATTTTCACTGGCTTCATTGGTTATTATTAATAACCAATAAATCACATTGACCATGACATATATATTTTCTATTTACAGGGCCAGATTAAAGAGGGGTTACTAATGCTGGAGCCCCAGACCCTATATTTTTTAGGGACCTCTAAAGTTTATGAAGGTAAAATTAATTTTTCAGATTTTCTAAAACAATTACTAGATATTTTTACTCATAATGCCTTACAATTTTCCTTTAGAATCATTGAAATTTTCATGTATTTTTAATTGTAAAATTCGGGAAATAAATTATATCTTTGCCTCTCACTTTTTTCTGTTTGAACTCTTTTTAGTGGGGTAAGAAGTATTTCTGTACCTAATTTTTTTTCTTTTAGTCACAAGTTCTTGGTTTTTTATTCTAATTTTCTGTATTCATCTATGAAACCCGTACAATTGTGTGGGCTTTCTGTTAGCAAAAATATACAAATTTAGTAACAACAGAAAATTTCCAATTTGTTACTTTCAGTTTTTAAAATTTGTATGTTTGGTAGTTTTTGCTGACATAAACAATTTTTGAATATTAATGGTTAATGTAATTATTTTTGTAAAAAAAAAATTTTAAACTAGAAAATTTCGAAAAGCTTTTTTTAATTACTGTAAAACAAGTTTAATTAGAACGAAATTTCATCAGAAGTTTCTATATTTTTTAATAATTTGGTATAGGTAGAGCCCCAAAGTCACACATTAGCCCCCATCATGCCTTAAACCCAACCCTGGCCTATATATAAACTTTTAAATTTATAAATTATGTTGATAAGTCATGTTATGAAAAAAGAAACTTTAACTGCTGAAAATAATTTAATTAAAATTATCCTTGTTATTAAATCTTATTATAAACAAAGGAAATCAGTAAAATGGAACTGCTGTATTTTAATTTTCATGTTCTTGCTTTTTTTATTAGTTTATTATTGTTTGAATTAAAGACAAAGCAAATGTAACAATTCGCAATAAATTTTATTCTTAAAACACAACAAAAAATATTTAACAGCTACACTTCATTTTTACATCAATACATTTATTTCTATAAATAAGGCTGCACTATCGCTTAGCTGTTGCTTTAAAACAATAACTGCGTGGGAATGTTTTTCAACAATTCATAATTCTAGTTTTTTAAACTATAATTGGTTGTACATATAAATAACTAAAAAGAGTGATATGATTATCACAGAAGTTTAAAAATACTAGAAAAACATACTTCAAATCAGTAAATCTTCGTAAAACATTTGGAAAAACTTCTTTCAAGTTTTCATCAATAAATTTCTATTTTAAGACAACAATATTAAGTCAAGGAAAAAATATAGCAAACAATTATAAAATTAATATTTCTTTAATATAATTTATTACATTTTCAAATATAAAATAAAATGGCAGTCTTATGAAGAGTATATATATTGTCAGTAAATTTGATAAAAAAAGACTAAAGAAAAATATTAAGCTCATTTTACACAACATGTTGAAAAATTCTGATATAGTGAATCAATTTATTCTGATTGCTTTTAAGTGTGCCAAATTATTTTCATATTACTAATAGGCATATTCACAAACCTTTAAAGCACAAAAGAAAACAATAGTTAAATACACATTTCTATCTAAATTTAACTATTTACAAGAAATGTAGTGCTTCCAGCTTAAATCCAACGAGTTCACTCTGTTACTTCTCTTATTTCAATTCCCTAGCCTCCTCATTTATGTAAACATGTTTTCCAACATTTATTCCTAGAATAACTCATATCTGAAATTTAAACAACCTTTCAATTTCTCAGATTTATCGAAATTCCCATTGCCAAAAGATATTATTTAATAACACTATAAACAATGTATTTACTCACTCGCATGTCCTGTAATGCTTTTTACCCATAAATAAACATTCAGAGTATCACACATAATTAAAAAATAAAGTGGAGAAAAAAAAGCAAAACAACCCTGCATTCACTAAGTTACAAATCTAGACCTGAAATAAATTAAATTTAAAATATATATTTCATCAATCAACAAAAGATTAAAACTTTTTCAAGGATTTAATTTTATCAGTTTCTCTCAAGTTTTCAACCTAACATTTAAAGAAAGAAAAAACCTGAAATTCTTAGTTATTTATTCTAAACCAGATTTTTTCTTCTTGGAAATTGGATATTTATTTAATCCTATCAAAGAGTTTTATAATCTTTTAATACCTATGGAGAGGATCTGTAACTCGGCTAAGCTTACTTAAAACAAAAAGAGGTTATTTAGAGCTTCTTATGGATGTGTAATTTATTATCTAAGCTAGTTATAAAATAGCCAAAAAGAATTATCGCAGCATTTCTAAAGTGCATGATAATGTAAAAATTAACCATATTTTAGAAAATGGTTTTTTAATAGTACTAAGAATGTTAAAGAATAATCAACTGTCAAAAGTAAAGTTTTCCAAACTTTGCTAATTAGGAAAAAAGTAATATAAATGTATCAATCACTAGAAAACTCAACAACTTAGTTTATGGTTATTGTTTTAAATAATAATCAACAAAATATACTACCCTTGCTTAAAATAGGTACCTAAAATAAAGCATAAAATCTTATATATAAAAAATTCAGATTTTGTGTAATATGTATTTACAAACATACAACCCAAGAATAATGAAAGGCAATTTCCATTTTTGACAATTGTTAAAATTTCTTAAGAAATAATAAACAAAGAACTATAACTTCAAAGGTCATGTGATTAGTCAATCACATAATTTCAGAGATTTGAGGGACAAGCAATTAATTATGAACTAGAAAGATTGTTTTTGAGCACTGTATACCAGAAAATAACTAGCATAAATATTTAAGGAAATATGGGCGTTCAAAATTGAAGCTGCCTTAGTTTTGTAAAGGAAACCTATAAGAAATATTAATAAATGAGCAAAGGTTATCTAAATTTCATACCCTCTAAAAAAGTATTAAGTTGCCAAAAATGTTTTATACAGTGGTGTATAAGACAGTGACATATAACGAAGAATTTCTCTTTTAATAACAATATAAACTTCGTAAATGAGAAAAACAAATCATAAAAAAAAAACTTAACAAAAGGAAGAAATATGTAAATTTGGCAAAAATAAATGAGATTATTCATGGTCTTGTCATTCAGTTTGCACCACATACTTCTAATTATTTTAACGCAAATATAACATTAATTTATAGGATAATTCTTTTTTTTTAATTCAATACATCTGTTATTATGAATAAATAGCTTATTAGTACAAATTTAAAAAAATATTTTGTTAAAATTACTACATTTTTTCGATATTTAAAAGTTGAAGTGACGCTAAAAAAAAAATTCGACATAGCGAGTGTTTGAGATACCAAGTTTAGAACTAAACTTGTCATCTCTATGATGTTCTAAAAAGTAGAAAAATATATTCTAAATAGAACTCTAAAAATGTTTATCTTATGTTTATAATAATTGTTAACAATAAGTCTAAATACAGCAATGATAATTTTTAAAAGTAAGATAAAAATAATTATGCATTAAATAGAAAAGAATCTGTTTACAATGAACTTACATTGTGATTTTTCGGAAAAGATTCATTTTCTATTTTGAATACTATTCAACCTAACAAGGTTTTGAGTAGAAACTCTTTGACATAGGAAATCAAATTAACATTAGGTGGACATGTATTGCCAACGGGAAAAATATTTTTTTGACATAGCAAGGTTTTCGAGAGTAGGTATACTGTATTTTACGGTAACATCTTTAAAATTATTTTATAAAATGAAAAGTCTTAAATTATATCATTTTCAAGAAAAAAAGTTTTTCTTTAGTGTCATCTTTTTAAAGCACCTGAAAAATTTTACTTTAAATGACTTTTTTTTTAAAATTATGAGATTAAGTCACACTTTATAATAAGTCAGTGAAACAAAACTATTACAACAAAAACATAAAAGAATATAACCATAAATAAACACTTACACAACATTGTAATTACAATTAAGTGGTAGCAGTGACTATGTTTTACAGAACTAGGAACAAAAGATGCAGTAAGGAAGCAGAGGTATATAGAAAAATTACTACAATTGGTACAAAAATAAAGATAAAAAAAGAAATTAATGCAAAATCTTCTAATATCCAGAAAACAACATGCTCCATATTTTTGAATTGATGTAATATAAATAAAAGCATTGTAAATGTGTTTTTATTTTTGAAGCACTGCAAATTTTGATTTTCTATAAGCTTTTTAATTGTGAAGTAAATGTCATTAACTAATAAATGTATAATAAAACAGGTACTTTCTGGCTAGTTGGAGCAAAGAGATTTAACAATTTTTTCCATATTTTTATTCTTTTGTGAATATCCATTTTGTTCAGTCTTTAAAAAAAATTAATTAAATAAAAAATAGTAAGAGAAAATAAAAAATGTTGACGACTTTTCGCTAGTTTCCAATTAACCAAAAAGTACCTAAAAAAATTCTATAGTAAGAAAATACAGGAATAATGACATCTAACTACTCACATTATGAGTAGCTTAACTGGGCTTTAAACAAAAAAGGGATAGCAAGGAGAACGAAACAACAAACCATACTAAAAAGCATGTTAACTAGGAATTTCTTTAAGCAAATTGGTATTGACTATAACAAATGATATTTAAAACGAAAGACTATACTGAAATTGAATAAAAACAACAGTATGATGCTTTTCATCTTTTTCATAAGCAGATTTTATATTTGTGCTAGATGTATAGTAGAGGTATTTATTGCACTACAATTATTATAATAATGATAAAAGAATATTCAAATATACATAAAGAATATTCAAAATTTAATAAAATCTTTTGAAATTGTGAGAGACAATTTTTTTTATCCCTTTACAACAATAAAGCTACAGACTGTTTTTTTTTTTAAAAAAATAGTTTTGTACAAACATAAATTAGGCATCCCACAATAATTAAAATGAAATGTTTAGAGTATGTTTTAATTTTAAAAAAAGTCTGCAAAAGTCACCATTTTCAGAGAATTAAAACCTCTGTATTGTAGGGATAAAATAGGGTCAATTTCTTTCTGTTTTATTTAATAAATAAAATTGACAATAACAATTTTAATTAAATAAAAACAAATACTATTAAAATAAAGATTCTTAACAAAACAAAATAATTTAAGAAAAATATCTAGCATTCTCAATTGAATTTACATCAAGAATTTTTTTCACCACTAAAAAAATACTTCTTTAACAATTGTTGGGAGGCATTAATAATACCCCATGAAATAAAGGCTCTACTATAGTTGATATGGACCCCCATGTACATTTTTCTTATACTCCTTCCTCTCTCTTCATATGTTTGCTTAAAGGCTTGAGAAAAAGTCATAAAGGGAGCGTTGTAGCATACTTGCATTTTAGTTTTTATAACATTGGCTGGATAAAATATTGTACTAGTCAAAGCTCCTACCACAGCACCAGTGACAAAATCATGTAACACATTTTCAAGCGTAGAATGAGAATGTGGCAAAAAATCTCTAACTTGATCTCTCAAGCCAAAGAATACTATATTAGATCCTGAATTACGAAATAAAATAGGCGTTAATCCCCTATAGTATTCCTTAAAACCACACTTTCTCATTTCTGCAAAGGCATGATAAGTATTCTTAAACTTATTATTATAATGTCCATCTTGTAACAAAGTTTGAACCCTTTCTAGTGGAGTAAGAAGTGCTTCTGTGCCACCTGCTAAAGTTGCCGCAACAGAGAGAATAATAAAACTATTCAGAGATGGAAAAGATTCAGATAAATGGCTTTTATACGCTTTCAGTGAACCAAACATCAAAGAAACATTTGTAGTTTTTTGTAATAATGGGGGAAAGCATCCTCTATACAAGAATTGCAAACCTTCCTTTTTAATTTGATTCAATGCAAGCTGGGAGTTTACACCATGTAGCATTTGGCGAAACATAATTTTGTTAATAGGAAAGGTTATGACTATATTTACAAATCCGGATCCAAAACCGCAAATAAATTCTTCATAATTTTTCAAGTTTTTAGGAGAAAAACTGATATCCGATTGTATCTGTCTTCTAGATGTGGATTCAATCACCATTTTGTTGGTACAACACATTACTCTGGAAAATAAGAAGAAAAATAAGCAAAATTCATTTAGACTAAAAAATATAAATACTTCAGATATAAACATTATAAATTAGCATTTTAAAAAATAAAATGATAATGGCTTCAACAAAATCAATTAATTAACAAAATCAATTAATTAACTTCAAATAATTAACAAAAATCTGTCCATCATTCAATAACCAAATGTCTGCATTTTTGATAATTAATTATTGCTGCAATTGTATATAAATAACATATTTTTGTCATTTAACTACCAGTGATTAACTGGAAAATGATGAATTTTCATCAATGTGGACAAATATGTGTTAAAGTTGTTAAAAAGATTTTTTTTTAAATATACATTCTTACTGACAGTAAACAGAAAGGAATAGTTTCAAAAAAAATTTTTTTTTGAAGGCCTAACTCTTAATAGTTTTTTATTAAAAAGAATGGTCTAAAAAAGATTAGATTGATCCTTTCTCCAAAAATGTTCTATTTCCTTTTATACTATTAGTATTCAAACTAAAGCTTGAAGCAGGTTAATCATGCTTAGGAAAAGTTTTCGTAAAAAGCACTTATAAATTAAACAAAGATGTTATTTGTTTGATGATTTAGGTAAACGGTTCTAGAGATTAAGCAATTTGTTTTTATGAGTAAATTCTGTAATGTTTCCACTTTTAGCTTCCAATAAAACTAATATTACAGAGATATCCTTCAATATCAAGCTACTCAATAAGTATGTTCCATTTAATAGAAATAAAAAAAAATTACTTTGAGTATGATCAGAAAATTTCAGTTTATTTTGCCATAAAATTGTCTGAAATAAATTTTTTTACAAAACTATTGTTGTATTCACATTTTATTTTATAAAAAGAATGAGAAAAAAAAATTTGTTATAGGATATTATGAAATAATATCTTTATTTTAAAAACATCAGTGACTAAAAAAAATCTAAAAAATAAACTTTATCTGCAAGTATTATTATCCCAATCAATTTATTGATAAAAGAGAAAATATGGTATTGTAGGGGACTAATTCAGGTGGTCGAAATTAAATTAAGCAGTCATAGTTTTCTAACTTTCACACATAAGAACAAAATCTTAAGTGTGCAAAATAAATACAAAAAGATCACTAATTTTTATTGTTTTTAACCATCAATGAATTTAAATTTATGATAACTCACGAAATTTTCTTCATTGGTCTGTCATATTGAGAAGGACATTTAGAGATTAATAATTGAGCGGAGGTCAACCCAAAGTCACCCTCATGCCAACGAAGACCTTGGTAAAAAATTTAGCAATACTTTTAAAAGGACAATTTGAACTTTAAAAGAAGAAAAAAAAATTAGGGAAGATACGAGAATATTTAAAAGATTAAATTTTTAGACTTTTATGTTTCTTACAATTTTAATTGTTAAACGTAATACGAATAAATGTACTAAAATTATTATACAAGCTATTGAACACTTACTTTCAAAAGACTCCATAACATATATTAATTTAAGTTTAATCAACGTTAATAAGGTAAAATAATACTAAATGAATTAAAATGTATACATGAACAAGTAAATAGACTTTTCAGTACAACATTTAGTGTCTAGACGTCCAGTAAATTTCTGCAACAAGCTAGAATAGCTTTATTACTATAAAAATTATAGCAAAACCTCACAATTAATATTACAATTATCAATAGCCAAAGTTCTTAAAAAATGTTTGTTCAAAAATATTACATCATGATCTACCAATAAAATCATTTAATTAAATGTGCCTAGCACAAAAATAAGTGAATTTAAAAAAAAAAAATTTAGTTGGTAAACAGTTGACAACCAATATTAAACAAACTAAACTCATCACAGATAAGCATAGTTCTGGAAATAGACATTTAGTAAAAAAATAAGTCTAGTTAAATGCAACAAAAACTTGAGCATTAAAAAAATATTTCGAATGGAATTTCTAGAAATCTTTTCGTTAAATACGTACCAATTTATAAGTATTAAATTGTCAAAAGTATTTTTTCCTGCATCCACATGATATAAGAATTATTTTGCTTCCAGAAGATTTCGATCAATCGAGAGTACATTAAAATATTGTATTAATAACTATATTTTTTAGGAAACAATGATAATGATTTTTGCACGTATAAACGGAACAAACATGAATATAAAACATAATTAATGCATTATTTATTTATTGCAGTATACTCATCTCGTCGTCTGCACAAGTTGAGACATCAAAACTTATAGCTTACCGTATAAAAAGAAAAATAACGACAGCTTAGTAAAATGCACAGTCTCATTTGAGACTGGAATAATCACATGGAAGAGTTAACAAATTCTGTTGATGATCTAAATAATTGAAAACAGCAATAAAAATTAAATCGAAACTCGAAACTACTATTTTAATTTCTATACTATGACCATAACCATTTAATAACTCTGATTGGTAGCGCCCTCTATTAGGAATAGGGTTATTTGTTTTTGTTTACATTAAAAAAATTAAAATGTGTTGGAAGCAAGTTAATGCGTGGATATAATTTGTTTAGTTTTCTCTTTAAATAAGCAATTTGTAGTTGTAGGAATTTGTTGAAAATGACTCAGCTGTGTTTATTTAAATATTCATAAAAAAAATCTTTTTAAGTTTCGTGTTAACGTAAATTATAAAAAGTATTTACCGGCTTCATCATGCATCGTCGGCAACTAAATAGAAATGAAGTATTGATTACCTATTAAACTGTTATTTTTTGATGATTTTTATTTGTTTTGGATGATTTTAATCTTTTTCTTTTCTTTTTTTCGTTTTAGAATAAATCTCCGTCTTACAATGATAACTCAGCTGTTAATAACAGTGTGCCTGAAAATGACGTTCGACTGTCATCGTCTGCTTATCAAAGATTTTGCGATCGCATTTCTTTCATGAAATACATTTTTCTCATTCTTGTTATTCCACCTTTATTGAATTATGCGTCTTTAAAACGAGAACTAGCTATGCTGATGCCAACCGAGGGTGAGTTACATTAAAATTAGGTATTTTGATATACGTTTTCTAACATAAGGTATAGAGCCACTGAATTAGAATTGATAGTATAGGAGCCTTAATAAGGTACAATGATTTTGTATTCTTACAGAGATGCCAACTTGCTCCGGACAGCAAATATATATTTTGAAGTGGTAGTTTATCAATTGTGATTCTTGGTTTAATAAATTCAATTCAGTAGATTTTTATCCACCACTATTTCTAAACAATTCAGTGGGTTATATAATTCACCACTTTATAGGAGTTATGTCATGCTATACGTTATAAAAAGCAAGCAAAAATAGTCAAATATTTGCAAAATTCACTTCGTAATTATCTACCGTTTTAGTAATTATTTTGGCGTGTCCGGAGCAGTTGGTATCTCTGTTCTTAAATCTAAATAGTTTTCATTCTTCTCACGACTCCTCTCATTTGAGCAATTGTATCTAAACCGAAATACTAATTTTGGTAACCTATGACCAGTGACTTGCTAGAAACTAAAAACAGAAAAGGATGAAGGGGAGATTTTTGTATTGTGATCTGTGGCAGAATAACTGCCAAGTCTTGGAAACTTCCGGGCAGTGGCCCACCAGAAACGGAAAAAAAAAAAAAAGCATGATCGAAAAGGACTAGCTCGTAAGTTATAACTCGTAGCCACCCCCGGGCAAGCACTTACATATTTTTTTTTTTTTAAATTTGCAAGTTTAAAATCTATTGATCTCCTTGGCAATTGTAGTGGGCACTACAGATCACAGTACGGAAGTATCCCCCACCTTGGTGCGACAGATCATGATACGGAAATATCTCCAAGACAAATCAAACAGTTCATATAATATCCTTTTTAATAGAGTATGATAAACAAAATTAATTTCATAAACTACCAGCATTTCTAAAAAGTTAAGCCAGTAAAGTGGGTTGGCATTAACTGGTAAGTCAAATCAGTATAATATTGTTCAATACAAAGTTTTTATACTCTTTTAAAAATCCAACTTCAAATAAATGCACACCACCCAACCATGGCCAAGCAACTAGTCCTATTTTTCAGAACTTTATCTTTTAACTGTCATGTCAGGAATACTGCATAGTTTTGACCCTAGCCAGATGACTGGACTGCACTGGTAGCCATCTCTTCAAGCTGAGACACTACAACCAACATGTTTAGTTGACTGCCAGGATCAATTTCACAAACTTAGCTCAACAACAGCGGTATAACAACTGCTTGAAACTGAGCCATTAGAGTGGTGTTTGAATAAACATGTTAGGAACATTGTATTTATTATAATTGTGTTCTTCTTTTAAAATGTCTTGAAAAGTATATGATTGTTTTTCCTTACATTGTTTTTCCTTAAAAGTATATGATTGTTTTATATTTTTGTTTTTAGGGCAACAGGTTGATATGGGTTGGGGACAGAAAATGTTCATCAGCTGTATTGGGGAAGGCATACCGACAAGTAATTATAAAAATTTATTGTATTTACTTATGGAAGAAATTATATGAAGTTGAAATGTAAATCCCATGATTCTTTTTTCTATACTTATTTTGTTATTTTAAAATATTTGCATTATTTAATACTTTTTGTTATAAATTTTGTGTTAAAGTATTTCATATTCATTGAAAAAGACATGTGGATGTGCAAAGTGCATTAATTTATTATATAATTGGAAATTTAATTTTTAACCTTTGACTTTCAATAGTAAAAAATTTTTATTTGCGTAAATATATATTTAATTTTTTGTTACACTTATATTGTACTTTTTCTGAGTTTAAATTATCTATATAATATATTTAGGTTTAAGGATTCGATAAACCACGTACTCTTAATTGAAACAAAAAGCTTCATCTTTTACATTCGTACAAATATTTCTTTCAGGGCATCATTATTTTATTAATATCTTTTTTAATGTGAGAAAAATAATTCACATTCATAAATGACTTCATCAGGGATTGTAAAAAGCATACTAAATTATTTTAAGAATATTGTTGAGCAATTTAAAAAGTTTTATTGATGAAATTTAATAAGATAGAGATATCTGTATTAAAATTGATTGTTATCCTCTCTATTCCCTTTTAATTTCTATTCAAAGATTAAATTTTTAGTTCTAGGTAATAACATTTTAAGTCAAGATAAGTTTGACTTCTGCCACAAATATGGATCTCACCATTAGTGAAGATAAAACTAAATTTATGAAATCTGTACCCTCAACTGTAAACCACTGCTCCTCCATGTATTAATGGTCTCACTTAATACAAAGTCAATTAATTGAAATGCGTTTGCACAATAATCAACTACGCAAACAAGCTTCAAGCAGAAATTGATAACAAAATAAAAATGCTCAAAAGTGTTTCTTTGGACCAAGAAGACAACTAAGATCAAAATAAATCATTCAAAAAGTTAAAATAAAATTTTATCGGACTCTTATTCTGCTCTATACCAGAAGTTTCCTACTTACATGAGGCCGGGGGCTGCAATTAAAAACACCAGTCAAATGGCGGGCCGCAACTTTATAAAAATTTTATATAGGATTCTTTTTATGTTTGAAGGAACATTAAATATTACTGTCAGATTTTTATCAAGTTGTACTAAACAAAAGTATTAAATTGCAAATTAAAATAAGAAGTAGATTTTTACATGAGAAATATTTGTTTTGCATCATTGGTGTGTTAAATTTTACAGAAACAAAGAAATTAAGTTTTTAAATGAAGAAAAGTACTTTTAACCCATATAGATTTTTATACTGAAATTGTCCGCAAAAAAATGACAACTGATATATTTTAGTTCGCTGGCCAAATGTGGTCTGCGGGCCACTAGTTGGTAACCACTGCTCTATACAAATAAAACTGGGACTCATAATGCAGACACTCAGTGCACCCTGAATATTTTTGAAAGAACTGTCCTAATGGCTATGTTGTACAAGAGAAAGGCCGTTAACAAATTAGGTGTAACTTTGAGTTATTTAAGCTGCCACCGATAACACAGGTAATTAGAAGTGATATGTTAAAATGGATAGGTTAAGATTCTCCAGACATGCCCATGGGAAAGCCCAGAATGTAATGTAGCTAAAATTGCCATTTTCAATAGTCCTCTGGGATCTCGGGCCAGAAAAAAACCTCCAACTGTAAAAGTCATAAGTGTCTTGAAGATAAAAAATTGGAGAGGAGTCACCATAGATAGGAATGGTTGGATAGTGCATGTAGTTGAGACATTCAATGGCTGTTATGATCACAGATAAGAAGAATGTAAGTTTACTTTCAGAAGCCGCCAGTTAGCAGCCTATTCTACTCCTCATCGGTTTTGACAAAGACTGCAAATTTTATTTTTCATTTTCAAAAGATTGTGCTTTTTAAAACTGAATTTTAAACAGTTTAACTAAGCATCTGTTTAAAATCAAATTATAATTTTTCTTTTCAATTCTTTTGAAAAAAAATCGAATTCGCTTTTTGAAACTAGAAACCAAATAAGAGTTTGAATTGTTTTTTTCTTTTTTTTTCTTTTTAATTGTCATCATTTTGATGGAAAAATGAGTGGTAATATAAATGTGCAACTTTGAATTTAAAATCCATTTCTATAAAAATAATGTTTCTGGCAAAACAATCATTCAAGGTGAAAATCGTTTGACAGTTATATTTTATTTTTTTATTTAATATTTTTTATAAATAAATTGTTGCCAAATGTTTTTTCCAAAATTCTATGACCAAAAGAAAAACAGCAAAGGCTTTAGATCAAGTTTTATGTCATTTATTTTGTTTGCTTTTGTTGAATACAAATAGATTTGTATATTATTTTGCTTTTTCCATCATTATTTTTTAGATTAACCTTTGAAAGCAGTAATGTATACTGTCAGCGTGTATCATGGATCACCATTGTTAACCATTTTTGCATTTGAATTTGGTCATTATAGTCTAGAAATATACTCGTTTGAAGTAAAAAATGAATTTTAACCTCATTTATTTTACTTGGAAAAATTCCTATACGTGTTTTATTTTACCTTAGAGTGAAAAAATCTTCCATTACATAAATGTAGTTTACAGTTTTTTTTTTTTTTTCTTTTTTTTTTCTTTCTTTTTTTTTGAATTTGTGCTTATTGCTTTTATAAGTTATGTATTCTATAATTCTTTCAAACCTGTTAGATATAAATGAAAATATGCTATAATGGAAACAGTCTATGAGTTTTCCTAAAAATTAAAATTGTTATGTCCTAATTTTATTTTATAGTCATTTTGTATGGTCTTACTTTTTATTTAGTCATATTAGATGCTCCTACTGGGGGAACTTCTGATGTATGGTACCTTGTCCAACGTGAATTAGCCAAAATTTCAAAGGTACTTATTGTAGATTTGGAAAAAATATTCTTATTATTTAAAAGTTAGATCAGGCTTTTTTAATTTTTGCTTATCATTTCAGGTTTGTGTTTATGATCGTGCAGGTCTGGGTTACAGCGACCTTCCATTTGTGGTAAGATCTTGGTTCCCATTTATAATTAGTAAGTTATGTAACACAGAGACATCTTTAACTTTTCAAAGTGCGCACAATTTACTTGACTACAGACTTTGCAATTGATCAAATTTATTGTTTCCACCGAACAATAAAATTCCTTTGTTTGGTAAAACTTTTTCAATGTTTAAAATAATTTTGTAGGAAAATAAGCTGATTATTAAAAGAGCGCATGCTAAATACGTAACAAATAATAATATTTAATTAATAATTTTCAAAAACTTTGGGACTATTCCTACTACACTCGACAGGGATCAAACTAATTTACCTACATTGGCTTATTAATAAATAAATAGGGAGAAAAAGAGATGGTTTTAAAGTTTTTACAAAGTTTAAATATACTAGAGGCTAAATCGATTCCCTCACTGTTTTATTCTTTTTTTACTTTGACCCTTCAAATTTCTTCAGAAGTGTAAAGTGTATTTCTATCCTGTAGTTCCTTTTCTCTCTCTTGATGACAAATTGGAATTTGTCATCTATATGCTACACATCTCTTTACATGTGAGAAAAAAAGAAAATTCAAAATTTTCAGAGGAAAACAAATTTGATTGTTTTTCGTTTTATTTTTAAAACACATGGTCCCAAAAGCTTGATTTTTGTTTTATAAAACACTGTTATGCACTTTAAGAATGGTTTTAACATGTTTTGATATTATAGCAATTCTTGGAGATTTGATTTTTAAAAGCCATTGATTTCATTATTAGTGATGGTTACTGTACATATTTATGCATTATACAGTCAAACCTCGAACTTGAAGGGAGAGGAGGAAAAATTCGAGATACCGAAAATTCGTATTATCAAAAATCGCATGTTATCAATGGTAAAATAAAGAAAAATGCTCTTTACATACCTTATTTACTATTCCATATTTATTCTAAAAACACTTTTTGCACTTAAAAAGATTTAATAGTTGTTTGCTTTAGAGATGTGTAAGAAAGTTTGTCTATAACACTTTCTAAGTGGACTATGGCTTTAAATTTCTCCATTGACATATTCAGCTGCCTCTCAATAAATCTCCTTACAGTGTCCACTGCAGAAAATGTTTGTTTGAGAATTGATTATGATTATGAGAATTGGCTTTGTATTCTTAATTTTTTTTTTTTCTTTGGAATTTTTTTTTTATTTTCAGAAAAAAAATCTACGCTATTTATGGAAAAAAATTCAAGTTATTGAGGATTAGAAAAAAAATTTCGAGAAATCAAGGTTTTTTTAACATTGAGTGTATAGGAAATTTGAAGAGAATTTATTTTTCTTCGAGGTATCGAAAAATTCGTGAAATCGAGTTAGCGAGGTTCGACTGTATTACAAATATAAGTTTATTATTAAAATATTTTATTTGACACTCAACAGGATATTTACATAAAAACAGCATAACATGTATAAAAAGTACTATACAGAGATTGTAAATCAACATATCTATCTATTAAGTAAACCAATTGAATGTTTTCAACTTTTTACTTTACAGCAACAGATTTAACATTTTAGAGTCCACTCCACTGACTCTGTGTCACAAAACTTACTCATTATTTGAGTAATTTAGTTTATTTACAATCAACGGTCTTTCATGATATTTAAATGTTAAGTTCCAAGAAAGTATTGCTTACATTAAGGGTGCACAACCTGCGGCCCGCGGGCCAAATGCGGCCCTTCGACTACTGAAGTGCGGCCCGCGAGAGCTTCTAAACACAATAACAAATTTTTTAAAAATGGCAATTTTTAATCGCACTTTTAAGTCGTCACGTTTTGACACAATCAATTTTAACAGATTCTTTAGTAAATGTACGTTTAACGCGCTTTCTTTAAGCTGATTTTATAGTAAATATAAATGATTTTTTTTAAACAGTTATTTCCGCTTTTCTACGTGATTTCGAAAATCCCGAATTTTTATTACGACGCGAGTTTCAAATCGCAAATTTAAATAATCACTTTTCTTGCACTTTATTTGTGACGATTTCATCTTAAATCTAAGTGATTTTTTATCT